ATTTGCCTCGTGGTAGACAGAGAAAAATTTTCTGTGTGGAACAAAAGCCATTGCCACAGATGATTGCATAAGTCCTCCTAAAACATTACCATCTTTCCTCTAATAATAAAGCACAAAGAGAAAATAAGGGTGAATTAATTTCAAGTAAGCACTTTAAAGCATCGTGCTTGCATCCAGGACTGGCTAGGAAATGAATCACACAGAATATCACTGGATTAAAGAGGTTTAATTAAGATGTTAGAGTTAATATCAAGCTTTAGGGTAAAATATAAAAACAAGGCTCAATTTGCCACCTAAAGTCAAAGAGCTGAGGAACTTTTCCCAAACCCTCAAAGGAAGTCCTTCCCAGAGGCTGGCCAGAAAATTGGTGTGATTCTCAAACACACTGATAAGCTGTGGTCCATCTGACCAGCCTCAGCCAGGTCCACCTACTCTTCCGCATTCCAGTAGTGTACATTGCAGGTACTGGACCTGACACTGAATTACAAACAAACTGTCCATCAAAGTCCATCCTGTCAACTCAGCAGGGACCAGCAGTTAACACTGACTTGGGGGACCAGGTAGCATGAGAAGGTGGGAAAAGGAGCAAGCAGATTGTGTGTGTGTGTGTGTGTGTGTGTGTGTGTGTGTGTGTGTGTGTGTGGTTTATAGTGTGGCACCTATATGCAATAGAATTGTGTTCAAAGAAAAGTGAAATTATGAACTTTGAAGGTAAATGACGGAACTGGAAAGCACTGAGACCCAGAGAGACAAACACTTCATGTTCTCACATGTTGTACCTTAGCATCAGATTTTGGATGTGTAAATGTAATTTGGAATATCTGTAGAATTCAAGGAACTATAAAGGGATCATTGGTTGGGAATGGGAATAGTAGACAGAGGTGATGTGAAGGGAAAGGGGGAATGATGGGGAGGGGGGTTCGAGAGAGGAATGGAAGTGTATGAGAGAGGAGGGGATAACTAATGATGATGATGTTTGAAAAGGCCATATGGAAACCTACTATTTCATAAATGTCCTAAATGTGTGAATATATACACTCATATAAAAGAGCTTAATTAGAAATTTTTTACAACTGTTAGACTAATACCCATGTAAAAAGCATTTGAAGAAATAACTAGGAACCGAAATAAGAGAAGTAAAGACTAAGAGTTGTAATGACAGTAAAAGAAATTAGAAAGCAATATGAATATTTGCTGCTATTTCAATCCGCTCATGTAGACCTGGCCCACACCCGTATCTTAAACACTTGTCCTATGGGATATTTGTCTCAATTTGAGCTCACTTCTGATGCATAGTAAAATCTTAAGTATTTTATAGAGCCCATGACTGGCATGGAGCTGTGAAGAAATTAGTCTCTCAGAGTGGATGGTGGCTAAGAGCATGTGCTTGCTCTGTCGCTTGTTTGTTGTACTTTCATTTTAGGGGTATTTGTGATGTTTTCATACCCCTGTTTTCTTATCTATGAAGAGACATAGTGACTGCTCTTATCTCATGGAGCAGCCTTAAGGAATAAATGGTTTGGTATACATAAAATAATATATCGCCTACAGAAACAAAGACTTCGAAAAGACATTGTATGATTGAGCTAATGTAAATACCCAACAGGTAGGTTTTCACAAGATCTTGGTAGAACTGAATTTACAATTTTGCCTTGCCTATTTATGATTCTATTATGGAAACTATTTCTATAGGACCTGGCTCTTCCCTCATTAGTTATTCACATTAGAAAATAAATCAAACTATTTGCCTAGCAACTGATAGTTTAGGCTGATGATAACAAACTTAGAAAAACATGACCAAGCAAGCTCTCAAATGTAAATAAGCATTAGATTAAAAATATTGTGTGTAATCACACAGGTTTTAAATTCATCTTGTGGTGGCCAGATCAACAAGCTGTCAAATGTTCACGCTGACTGAAGTATGAGAAGTTTTGGGTCTTTGGCTGGTACCACTGCATGTCTTTGCATAGTAATTTTCTTCAGGAAAGATATCTGAAATATAGAAAGAAGCCTGTTTTGTGGAGTAGAAGAGACATCTGTGGCATATCCACGTTAGGTAACCAGCAGGGGTCTCTAGCCCTGCAAGGATATACAGGGGAAACCTGGATAAGAGCGGTGGTGAAGAATCTAGTAAAAGGCTGTGTTCAAATTTGACAAAGTAAATGACTTGTTGACCTTCTATTTAAAAGTGGGAAGGAAAATAGTAATAAAGAAGACTCTAACCCAACTGTGATTGGCTCCATTTGTTTTCCTGTTTTCTTTGCTGACTGTAAATATAACTGGAAGATAAATTCGTTTTCTAAATGTAATACTGGACTAGGCTCTGGTAAACTGTAATATAATTTACTCGGCATATTTATAATTCACATTTATATGTCACATAATTATAAAATGTTACAAAAACTTGAGGGCATGTTCCAGCTTTAGGCACCCTTTTTTGTTAAGGGTCATTAAATGCTACAGGGAGACATGGAGAGACACCAGTTTTAAGCTGGTCCCCTTTCCTATGGCATTCATCTTTATTGTAAGAGCCCATGTGGCCATTTCCAGACAGTTTGTCTTGTTTTATATTCTACTCAAAATAGAATTTCAGGATAACTTCTTATCCCAAAACTGTATATCAAGCAAACTAAAGAATATAATGTATACTTCTAATGTAATAAATGTTAGTACTTTTAAATCTGTTCTCATAACATTAAGTAAACAGCACTGCAAAGAAATTAACTAATTAAGAAACTATTCAGAGGGCTGGAGAGATGGCTCAGGGGGTAAGAGCCCTTGCTGCATAAGCATGACGACCCAAGTTCAAATCGCAGCACTTATGTAAAAAGCCAGATATGGCTACACATACTTGTAATTCCAACTCTGCAAGAACAAAAATGGAAGGATAGTTGGGGTTTGCCTGCCACTTAGCCAAGCTAAAAAGAAAAAAAAAATAATCTTCATTATCAGTGAGAGACCCTGTCTTAAAGAAATAAGGCAGAGAGTGACATAGTAGAGTACCTCCTCTAGCCTCTGAGCACACTTTGAGATAGTGTACATACAGACACACGTATGTGCACACACAAATGAGAGACAGAGAGACAGAGAGAGTTCAGTTTTTAAAAATTGAATCTATAGTATAAAATATATGATGCGAAAATTAAGGGAATTGGAAGCAAAACAGAAATTAATTAATCTGTCATATTCCCCAAATGTGTTGCTGGATTTAAAGTAAGCTTTACATATAAGATCACTGACCTTTCTAAAAGTGTTTGCAAAGGGAATATGTAAGAACTGAAAGGGAGGGCCAGCAAGATGGCTTGGCAGGTAAAGGCTCTTGCCACCAAGCCTGTCAACCAGAGTTTGATCTCTGGAACTCACATGGTGAAAGAAATGACTCCTCAAAGTTGCCCTCCATATGTGTGCCTTGACATGCATGTACACACACACACACACACACACACACACACACACACACTAAACAAATGTAAAAGCAAAAATGTTTGAAAAGTTAAAAAATAAAATGGCACCTACAAAGAGAGAAAAGAAAGAAGGGAGGAAGGAAGGGAGGGAGGGAGAAAGGGAGGGAGGGAGGGAGGGAGGAAGGGAGGGAGGAAGGAAAGAGGGAGGGTGAGTAGACATCTCTCTGTAATTAAAGCACATATGAGGATTTTGTGATGGTTCTGTTGGCGCCTGTGAGTTCTCTACATCTCACACCCTCTGGCCTAGTATTCTCTCAGAAGAGAAAGGAAAACTTGGGGAGAGAAAGGAAATCTTAGTGAATACCTGGAAATTAAAATTAAATTTTGTACTGGTACCCAAACACAGGTTGATAGTAAATGGCACAGCAAATACATGATTATTTATCCTTATGAGATACTGATACAAACACTAAGATTTTAAATATTATGTTATCAATCCAGTTCTAACAGAAACATTACCACCTTAAAGTATATTGTTATTATATGCTCATAAAGTAGCACATCTAACTAAGAGTAAAATCTCAGATTCTACTTCCTGTCCATCCTTCCTTGAGATTCAAGTTGTCACTAAAATTTATGAAAGACAAAGAAGGAGAGTAATGGGAAATAAGGAAACGCCGTGCAAGGAATATTCCTAGAACTTAGTGGAGAGTACTCCAATCGCTTGTTCTTTCATTCTTGAGTCAAACCTGGGGCCTTACACATGCTAGGCAAGTGTTCTACCACTGAACTACATTCCAAGCCCTTACTTGACTCTCACAGATTAGAGCAACAATTATGAACCATGGATGTGTGGTCCTCCTGAAGCATCAATGTAATATAATCAATTCAAGGGTAATTTACAAAGAAAACAACATTACTGTCAGGATAGCTTCCATGAATGGGCTATTTGGCCATGTATGACATTGTTATAATAGAAAATGTAGGGTTATTTCACTCCTACTAATCTTATTTTGTCTTCTCAAACCAAATTAACTACCAAGTCCCCAACTGCAAGCAGTTTTCTAATATTATAAAATGCTATACATAGTATTTTTTTACTTATTTCTCTCTATGTAGCCTCTATATCATAGCACAAAATACATTATACAAATGTGACTTTAAATTAAGTATGAATATATTTATCAGTTTTAAATACTGTCTTTAATGTTCTCATACTACATTACAAAATACACAAGTATAAAATATTAACACGTTCTTTTAAACCTATCCTATGCTGTAGACAAAGAGAAAAACAGGGCTAATACAATTTTTAAAAACAATTTCATAATCATGAGGATTTTTATGGGTAATTGGCTAATTTACTCATAAAATTGCTTTGTGTGAGACAAAACGTTTTAATAAATGTTTTGAAAGTTTCTACTTACTACTGTTTTCATTGGATTGTGTCAGAAAAAAGTCTGCAATCCGAACTCAAATTTGTAATGCACAGAATGCTCTAGAAAACCATGCATGTATTTTTTTAAAGTGTCCTAAAAAGAAAAGTACTTAGAACTTTTTCTGAACTATGTTTCTCCCTCCTTTGTTGCAGGAATTCAGTTTTCAACTATATTAACCTCTTAACAAAAAGAAATGGATTTTTTAAATTCATCAGATCAGAACTTGACCTCCGAGGAACTGTTAGACCGAGTGCCATCCAAAATCCTGGTGTCCCTCACTCTCTCTGGGCTGGCACTGATGACAACCACTATCAACTCCCTCGTGATTGCTGCAATCATTGTGACTCGGAAGCTGCACCACCCAGCCAACTACCTAATTTGTTCCCTGGCTGTTACAGATTTTCTTGTAGCTGTCCTGGTGATGCCCTTCAGTATTGTGTACATTGTAAGAGAGAGTTGGATTATGGGACAAGTATTCTGTGACATTTGGCTGAGCGTTGACATCATCTGTTGTACATGTTCCATCTTGCATCTGTCGGCAATAGCCTTGGATAGGTACCGAGCAATCACAGACGCTGTTGAATATGCCAGGAAGAGGACTCCCAAGCATGCCGGCATCATGATTACAATAGTGTGGGTTATATCTGTGTTCATCTCTATGCCTCCTCTTTTCTGGAGGCACCAAGGAACTAGCCGAGATGATGAATGCGTCATCAAGCACGACCACATTGTTTCCACAATTTACTCCACGTTTGGAGCTTTCTACATCCCACTTGTATTGATATTGATCCTCTACTACAAAATATACAGAGCTGCAAGGACCCTGTATCACAAGAGGCAAGCAAGTCGGATGACAAAGAAGGAGCTGAATGGCCAAGTCCTTTTGGAGAGTGGCGAGCAGAGCATTAAACTGGTCTCCACATCCTATATGTTAGAAAAATCCTTATCTGATCCATCAACAGACTTTGATAGAATTCACAGCATAGTGAAAAGTCCCAGGTCTGAGTTGAAGCATGAGAAATCTTGGAGAAGACAGAAAATCTCAGGCACTAGAGAACGTAAGGCAGCCACTACCCTGGGATTGATCTTGGGTGCATTTGTAATATGTTGGCTGCCCTTTTTTGTAAAAGAATTGGTTGTTAATGTCTGTGACAAATGCAAAATCTCTGAAGAAATGTCAAATTTTTTGGCGTGGCTTGGTTATCTGAATTCCCTTATAAATCCACTGATTTATACCATCTTCAATGAAGACTTCAAGAAAGCCTTCCAAAAACTTGTCCGATGTCGACATTAGGTAAAAGGAAGTCTATTTTTAAAGGGTAGAGACTTTATTTATTTGGTGGGGATAACTAAATGAATGTAAAGTAAAACATTAAAAATTTTAGAGAAAACATATTATGACTGCTAAAATTATAACAGCATAAATTTATTTTTAATAGTACTGAGAAAATGAAATTATTAATTTGACCATCAATCTAGTGTCATCAAAATTAGTAAATAATTCACACAGTTTATAAATAATCTTTTGTCTATGCAATATATCTAAAAAGAGAATTGGAAAACTATATATACATACTACTAATTACAATACTTTACAGGTTTATATCTTACAACAACTAGAGGAATTTTCAATTAACATAGTTCCATTGGTAATTTCTATATCAACCCATTGCTCAACTATTAATTCATAAAAGAAATATTATTCACTGTAATACCTCGCTTGTCCCTTCTCCATCTTATTTTTTGCAAAAGGCAATGAAAAGGTAACAGCAGCTCTTATTTAGCCTGAGTAGAGTAGATATGAAACTCTTGCTTTGATATTGTCCCCAAATTTGGACACCAAAAATAATCATACAGTGAGATAAATATGGTAAAGTATTCCAATATCCTGAACTTCTGTACCTTTGCTATCCTTCCTTTGTTTAATACCAGCTTCTAGACTAATATCATCATAATTGTATAATATCAGTATTTGAAATCAAAGCCCAAGGAGAAAGGTTTATTATATAATTACGTATAATTATTATATGCACTGTCCCTTGTTTAAGAATAAACCTTTAAACACTAAATTCTCTAAGATACTCACCATAACTATCATACTTCTAATATAAAATTTATTTCCTCCCTACTAATGTTAGTAGCCCAGTTTTTACAATTCATATCTCCATATCTTAATATTTGAACTTTATTTCCTTTTTATTGTAAATAATACAATGGAAATACTAAATTAAAACTTTGTTTTGACAACTAAAAAAATCTGTTTTTCCCTTGTAATAAGGACACATTTTATAAATCAAGGCCATCTGAAAAAACAATATTATACCACACCTCTTTTTTTTTTTTATTTAATTTTATATAACAAAGTCCAATTAAATGAAAACAAACATTTATACACAATATTTGGGAATTTGGGCGTCGTTCTTTCCAAACTACTTCCTGCTGGTAAGGGGCGCTGTCTTGGGGGATTCGAAGAAGATTCAGATATCCTAGCTGTAGTCTGTAGGGCTGTTTTGTCCAGCTGTTTGGAATGTAGGATCAGCTTGTACTCTGTTTCAGGCGGTCTGGTGTGATCAAACCACATTAGTCTGGAAGGAATCCACATCTTTTCATTTTCTGTGGAAACAAAAATAGAAATACTTTTCCCCAGTAACTTGTTCTTCAACTTAAATTTTGGAGTCAAAGCATTTTTTTTTATTATTATTATTATTATTTTACATGTCGATCCCAGTTCCCTCTCCCTCCCTCCCTCCCTCCCCCCAAGCCTTCCTTCCCTCCTTCCCTCCCTTTTGCCCTCTCTACCCTCTCCCATGCACTCTAAACACCCTCCCCTCCCAACCCCCCACCACAATACAATATGTAGGGGAATGCCATCCAGTTGGGGTCATGTAGATCTGACAGGTCCTGTGAAGTAGGGACTAGGGCTTCTCTCCTATCTCTAGAATAAGGCAGTTATCCCTCCATGGGGGATATGTTTGCAAAGTCCTTTTGTGCACCAGGGATACATCCTGGCTCCACTGTCTGAGGTCTCTTAGACTGCTCAGACCTTCTGGCTGAGACCCATATTCAGGGGGGTCCGAGTCAGACCCCTGTTGGCTTCCCAGCTATCAGTCTAGTGGCCCTTAGCTCCTCCTTGTTCAGGTAAGCTGTCTCTATGTACTTCTACCACATGGTCTTGTCCTCTCCATCTGCTTCTGGGTTCTAGTTTGACTCAGTGTTTATGTATGGGTGTTTGCTCCTGTTTTCAACAGGCATTAGTTGAGGACTCCATGGAGAAGTTAGTTGTTGATCTCACTCTCCGGGAAGGGTATTTATGATAGCCTTTCCACGGAAGCTGAGATTGTTAGTTGGGAGCAGTCTTGTAGTTCCCTCGACCTTTCTTTGTGTTCAACTTTATCTTCAAACCAATATTGGCTCCCTCTTTTATGTTCTCTCTCTCTGTCTCTGTCTCTCTCTCTCTTTCCTATTTTCCATTCCTAACCAGGCTCAATCCTCCTGGTCGCACATGCCTTCCTCTCCTCCCTCTCATTTTCTCCTTCTTCTCTTTCCATTAGCTGTCCTCCCCCACTATACCTGAGGTCTGGGGGACTTGTCCCTTCCCAGTTCTGTGAGGGACTTTATATGAATCTCTTAGAATACAACTTGTATCCTAGTTCCTCTGGTGATGTGAATTATAGGCTGGTGATCATTTGATCTAGGTCTAAAATCCATATATGAGTGAGTACATACTGTGTTCCTCTTTTTGTGACTGGGTTACCTCATTCAGGATGTTTTCTTCAAGTGCCATCCACTTGCCTGCGAATTTCAAGATACCATTATTTTTTTCTGCAGAGTAGTATTCCATTGTGTAGATGTGCCACATCTTCATTAACCATTCTTCAATTGAAGGGCATCTAGGTTGCTTCCAGGTTCTTGCTATTACAAATAGTGCTGCTATGAACATAGTTGAACAGATGTCTTTGTTGCATTGATGTGAATCCTTTGGGTATATGCCTAAGAGGGGGATTGCCGGGTCCTGTGGTAAACTAATTCCCATTTTCCTGAGGAACCGCCATACTGATCTCCAAAGTGGCTGTATGAGTTTGCACTCCCACCAGCAGTGGAGGAGTGTTCCACTTTCTCCACATCCTCTCCAACATAAGTCATCACTGGTGTTTCTAATTTTAGCCATTCTGGCAGGGGTAAGATGGTATCTCAAAGTTGTTTTGATTTGCATTTCCCTGATAGCTAAGGATGTGGAGCATTTTCTTAAGTGTCTTTCAGCCTTTTTGATTTCCTCCATTGAGAATTCTTTCTTCAGTTCTGTACCCCATTTTTTAATAGGGTTATTTGGTGTTTTGTTGACTAGTTTCTTGAGTTCTTTGTATATTTTGGAGATCAGCCCTTTGTCGGATATAGGATTAGTGAAAATCTTTTCCCAGTCAGTGGGCTGCCGTTTGGTCTTGTCAACTGTGTCCTTTGCCTTACAGAAGCTTCTAAGTTTGAAGAGGTCCCATTTATTAATTGTTTCTTTCAGTGTCTGTGCCCCTGGAGTTATGTTCAAGAAGCGGTCTCCTATACCAATTTGTTCAAGGGTACCTCCTACTTTCTCTTCTAAGAGGTTCAATGTGGCTGGATTGATGTTGAGGTCTTTGATCCATTTGGACTTGAGTTTTGTGCATGGCGACAGACATGGGTCTATCTGCAGTCTTCTACACACCCTCATCCAATTGTGCCAGCACCATTTGTTGAAGATGCTGTCTTTGCCCCATTGTATAATTTTAGCTGTTTTGTCGAAAATCAGGTGTTCATAGGTGCGTGGATTAATATCAGGATTTTCAATTCGATTCCATTGGTCTACCTGTCTATTTTTATGCCAATACCAGGCTGTTTTCAGAACTATAGCTCTGTAGTAGAGCTTAAAGTCAGGAATGGTGATGCCTCCTGATGTTCTTTTATTGTATAGGGTTGTTTTGGCTATCCTGGGTCTTTTGTTTTTCCATATAAAGTTGATTATTATCCTTTCAAGGTCGGTGAAGAATTGTGGTGGGATTTTAATTATACCACACCTCTTTAAGTTGCCTCTTTGTATACATTATAAAATATTCTTTCCTTGTGGAGTATTTAAGAGTACATCATTTTTTATATATCTGTGAGACATTACCCTTGGTTTAACAGATATCTAGAGGTGAGATTTCATATAAGGCAATGAAAGATGTACTAGATAGAAGATATAGGAAATAATAAAATACAGATTTTTCCATCAATGTATCTATAATCTAGAAGAAAAAACAATGCAGGATTAAAACTAGTCTAGAAGATAATAAACAAGGATCTAGCAAGTGATTTAATTACATATTTGTGACAATGTCTAGACAAAACTGATTACATATGATTGAAAAACACTGGGAAATTTTTATAAATAATATATCTGAAATGTGTGGCAAATAAAGCAGCATTTGGGCATGAGCAAATGAAAGGGCATAATGCAGGTGGTGACAATGTAAAGTTCAGGCTTTGCCATATAAGGATTATGGCCCATGCCATAAATTTGCTAGCTGTTGAAGGCAACAAAGGAAATCAAAGGATTCAAGGGAAAATTGAACATTGTGAATGACTTTTAATGTCAAGCAAAGTAATACACTGCCAATTTTCTTGCTACCCTTGAGTTATCAATGGTGAATTTCAAAATAAATAAACCTAAAATGAATGGGGTAGGAAGTAAAAGCTTCTCCTCTAGATATGAGAGACAAAGGGGTTGCTGGAGAATCTGTCTTCTTGCTGGAAACCAAACCAGTAGTCCAGGCAATGGGCGATGAGTTGCTAAACTTGATTCTGGCAATGGAAATAAAAGGAAGGAAAAGATAAGGATAACAAAAGTAGAGTTGATAGATTACAGCAAGTAATGTGGTAAGACAGTGGGACAGGCTGAGCTCCTAAGACCATCTTTACCTGAAATAAGGAGATTCTCAGACATTGTCTCTTCGTAAACAATGACTTTTGCAGAAGTGTGGAAATTGCAGATGTGCCCAAGCTCATAGGCACTACTGGCCACTTCTGGTATAAATAAAACTGACAAATAAATGAGATTAGATGTTCTCTGAACCTGACTTTGACAGTCAGTCAAGGCTCCCAGTCGCGTGCTTTGGCCTCACATCACTCTGCCTCCACTCTCAAGCCTTGTATCTTCCCTACCACTCTCTGCTTTCTTCTTTCACCTCCCACTTGCCAGAATTTGATTCTGTGGCTTATTCAAAGACCTCCCCCAAGTTATACCTACACATGTCAGAAGCTCACATTGGGAAAACTCTTTCATTGTTTGTTTGTTTGTTTG